ATATATACGGGGAAAAGCAGGTGGGGAAGGCATTGAACAGCGCACATTCCTCAAGACAGGCCGCATTGCAGCCTTGTCTCTTGTTCACTTCCCTTCCAACAGCCTTCATTCCCTCCTGACGCAAGGCGTCACATTGTTCATGCTGAAGCTAAGTCCACTGAAGTAGGAAGAACAGAAAAAGAAAAAACGCAGGCGGAAAGAAGAAGAAGAAGAAAAACATCGAAAAACAAAAATGGGGGAAACCTACAGATCCATGCCTCTCTCTCCCGTATCGCCCTCGCCGGCATCGCCGTCGCCATCGCCGTCCTGGTCGGCATCGGCACCCAATTCGGGAAACAACACCCACGGCTTGGTATCGTTTGCATTATGTTCCACCGGCTTTGCAACGACGGGTTCACTGCTTCTTCCGCCACTCTTCTCGATCGCCTCCTCCCGCCGCTTGGCGAAGGTGTCCTGCCACTGCTCATACCGATGGATGCGACCAAGCTCTGCGGCAAGGCTCGCTTCTGTCCCAATGCACACGGCCGTAATTAACTCCTCAAGGGGCGGCGGCGGAGTCGTCGCTGCGCTGCTGTTGACGTCGTTGCCGCCGCACAGGCGCCTCTCCAGCTCCGCCAGCTCACGCACCTCCCGCACGAGCGCCATCATGGCATCCTCCTCCTCATCCATTACACGTGTGCAAAAACTCCGAACAGCAGTCTTGGAGACGGACTTGAGCGCCTCAGCGTCCTGCAGACTGTAGTGTTGGGCGAAGGGCGAATCGGACTTCTCAGACTCATACACGCGAATACGTCTGTCGAGGTCCAAACGCAGAACATAGTTCTCTTCCAATGCGTCATTGCATATTTTCTCCAAAACCTCCACGGAACGCAACTCGCTTGTGGCGTACACGCTACGCTGGAGCTTGTTCTTTGCGTCTAGGCGATGTGTGGAGAGGAAGGTGGCGCCACCCCTGCCGTCGTACTCTAGGGAGGCGTTCATGCGCTGCCCCAGGTACCCCGCAAAGGCAATGCAGGCAGAGCAATCCATGTAGGCGTAGGAAGGTCCATGAATACGGAAGCGAGGATCGTCCAACGTCGCCGCGGAGCCTGAGAGCACGCCACCCAGTGTGAAGAGGCATAGGGCGAAAAACAGAGACGTTTGCCTCACTGGAGAATTGATAGGCAAACAAAGTCGCATGCTGGCAAACTTTTCAACTCCCTTCTTTTTTTTTCTTTGTTGTTGCTGTTTGTTGACTCTTTTATTTTTCACGTTGTTGCTCTCTTACACCCACCCAGCCAGAAAGGCAAAGCACGCTAAAGGGCAGGGTAAGAAGATGTGAGGTGAGCAGAACGAACTCCACACAACTCTGCGCCTCTCCAAGAGATCATATATGCGTATAGATATGGCATATCATGGGCATCACACACTTTTCTCCCCCCATAAAACGAGTGGAAGTAATCTTCAATTGTTTTTTTTTTCGCTTCACCTTCTTTCACTTCTCTTCGTCTTTTCGCAGGTAGGGGTGGGGAGGAAGAAAGGGAGAGGGAGGTCTGTTCTTCCTCTGCAAGCGTTTGCCCTCTGTAGGAGGCACAGAGACTTACATGAGCAAATAAAATGTGTGTTACATCTGTTGATCCGAGAGTGTTTTGTACAAACATCGTTGACCGACTGCGGCGCCGCCTAGGCGGGGGCCGAAGCCCTCTTCTGCTCCTCTTCCCGCCCCTCTGCCTCGCCCTGCTGCTCCTCACGCTGCTCACTGTGAACAAAGATCCAGTAGTTTTCGTCGGTGAGCGGGCTCCCACGAGTCCTCGACCCGGGCAACGCAAACTTGTTGCAACAGACCTCATACTCCGGGCCGAAGTCGTTGTAGAACACCGCCTTTGTGCTCGCCAGTGGGACGTTGGTCTGGTTGTGGCGGATCACCAAGACGGCGTCCCCCTTCACGGGCCTGTCACGCATGTCCTCAATATACTCTGGGTTCGAGAAATCCGCCACCCACATCGTCTCTGCGGTGCTGCCGTCTGGGGAAAAGAACACGTCTTGGTACTTCCCCGTCACCTTCGACGCGCTATTAGGCCCCTTGCGCTCCGACGCAAGTGAAAGCGGATCATCGCTCAGTTCTGGCACTGTCATGATGAAAAACGGCTGCCCGTAGTGCACCAAATCCTTCTCCTCGGGTGGCGGGGGGATCATATCTGTGGGTCCCGTCGGCGCTGGCACCAAGACAAAACAATTGCGCAGTGTCGGGCCACTGGCCGGCGCCGTTGAGCACACGACGCTCCATCCTGTGGGTCGCAGCGCGCGGTCCTCTAAGTCAAGCGACATAAAACCTAGGGTTGCAGCATTTTGCAGCATAACTGGGGCGTAGAAGTGTAGAAATCCATCTTCAGGCATGGGGGACATTGGGTACGGTGTGCTGTGATGCTTCACTTTGGCCAAAATGAGCTGAGTCTCACGTGCGGCATCGACGACACCGCCATTGCGGCCCTCCATGAGACGCCTTCGATCTCGTGCGTAGGCCTCCTCCTCAAACCAGTTACCTAGCAGGGCTTTTCTGGGCATTTTCCTGCGGCTTGGCTTGTCCTCCTCTGCGCTCCGTCTTGTGTTCAACCACCCCACACGTCCACCCGAGGGCACAGGTGTTCACCTACTGACTCTGTAGCCGGTTGTCGAGTTGGCTGTTGTTTACTTCTACCCGCACGTGCCCTCCTGCGGGTGTATTTGGGTACCGCGTCCACCGGGTGTCAAGCCTTGCACTGTTCTAGCCTCGCCCTCTCTGTCTCTCCCTCCCTCTTTCTCTGTGTCTGTCGGTGTGGGTATGTGTGGGAAGCCGCCAAACTGCGAAGGGAAACTAGCAGAGGAAGGGTGTTGGCACGCAACGCAGCAAGACAAGCGGGAAAAGGGGAGCAACATATAAGCAGAAAAAAAAAGAAGAAACGACGAAAAAAGTGGCAGTGAGTGCATGTGGCGCATAAAAGCAAGAAGAAGCGAAATGCAACTGAGCGCCGCCCGCTCCGCAGACGTGAGGAACTCATCTTCCTCATGCATCCATCACATTGTGCGATGAAGGATGCCCACACCCAGATGCATCTACGGAGGAGCAAAGGCGGCAGCACAGAAGCAACAATGGCAGATTTGCAGCAGGTGACGGAGTATCCACCAGCGTTTTGTCGTCTCTTTCCCTTGCCTTCGTTGGAGTGTTTCCCCCTTCATACCTCTCAGAGTCGACGCGTGGGTGTGTGTGTTTGTGGGTGTTGAATAAATTCATAACTTCCATCGCCCTCGTACACCTTCCCACCTCTTTCTCCTCACGCTCCTACACCACTCTTCGCTTGTTGAAGATTCGCTTCAGGTACCACACGTTGCCAGCACCCATAAAGGCAATAATTAATATTTCTACGGCTGACCAAACGACAACACGCGTGTTTGCCACCTCCGTCGTCGCACGGTGCACACGCTCGCGCCCCCTGAGGTACCGCTGCACCTCCTGCACCTCGCGCAGCCCCTGTTGAATGCGCATGATGGACCGCTCCAGCGGGTCCATTGCCTTGGCCGTTTGGTCATTATCTGTCTCCCTCCCCGACTCCCCGACCGCTATGGAGAACGCCACCACCTTCGTGGTGATGGTGCTCATCTTGTTGGAGAAGCAGATGCGGTGTCGCCCCGGCGTGCGTGTTTTGAAAAGCACACGGGCCTCAGGTTCGCGGACAGACTCCCAAATGTGGGCGTCGTCCGGTCCATAGATGGTGGTGTCGATGTCAAGCGAACCACCGGAGGTCACCATGTAGTGCAGAAACACCTTCACGCCAACGCCGGGGATGTCCTCCACGAAGCACTCGTCCCTGTTCGCAGTCACCAGAATGGAGACGGCGCCGTCATCCGCGCGCGTCGGCGTCACCGCACAGCTGAGCAGGAGAAGCAGCACGCAAAGCCAGGGAGCGCGCCAGGAGGGAGCGGCAATCCGTGGAGTGCCCCTCATTGTTGCGATTGCTCCTGCGTCTTCAGAGAGAAACCGCCGGGCCCGGGTGGAGGACTAATCTCCTCTCTACTTCCTTTTTATACGTGTGCACGTGTGTGTGCTTTTGTTCTTGTTTGTTCGTTTGTTTGTTATTCTCTTCCTTTTCCGTCGTTGGTGGACGCGCGCGCTTGCGTATACTCTCGCGGGCAAACCAGGCAGCGGGAGGTCGAGAGAAAAGGCACAACAAAACGGCAAGAAGAAGGCAGGTGCGGCACGGCGAGGCAGCAAGGCATTCCGCGGCCGTGCCGCACCTGCCTTCTTCCCCCCCCCCCCCCCGACGCGCACGTGCGCGGGAGAACGAAGGCGGAGGGAGACGGGGCCCCGCGCCTCGGCTGGCGGGAGCCACACCGCCACGGCGACGCGGAGCGAGAGGCGGGTCCGAACACGCCCACAGGCACACGCAACGAAAAGGAAAAGCAAACTGGAGGGAGGGGAAAAAGGGGGTGAGGTGGAGGGCGCCTTCGCCTCCGCTGGCAGCTGCGGCTGCGGGAAGAGTAAAACGGCCCCCGCAGGGACGTACAGAAGCAAAAAAAAAACAACAACGCAGAAACACTTTGCACAAAGAAAGCAGCGAAAGGGAGAGAGAAGAAAAGAGAGATGGCGCGCGAGTCCACAACCGCCGTTGACGCGCTCCTACAAATATATAAACTTGCGGCGTCATCCCCCCACCCCCACCCCCACCCCACGCAGCCGTGAGAACAGCTGTCGCCGCCACCATCACCGCCCGCCGTCACCCTCTTCACCTCGGCTGCTCCGTTCCTTTTCTTCCCCTCTGCCTCACCTTGTTCCCCTCGAGCCTCAAACACGTACCCGCAGACATCTGCGGCTACAGGCTACATGCACACTCTCTCTCACACACACAGCTAAATGCATGCATGCATACAAGCACACACACACACACATATATATATAAGCGTGTGTGTGTGTGCATCTGCGTACATCATACACCCTCCGCCCTCTTCCCTGCGGAGGGCGAAAGCGCGGCAACAGTTGTTGTTGTTGTTGCATCCTGCTGTCACTTCTCGCGCCGTTGCAGGGGGCGCGGGGGAAAAGAGGAGCAAAAAATGCACTTATGCACAACGCAGCATCATCAAAAAGAGAAGCAGTAAAAAAAAACTTTAAAAGGGAAGACTGTGGAACAACACACGCACAAAAAGAGAGCACCGACAGAGAGGCGAGCACCCACCCACACACACACACACGCACGCACAAGAAAAAAAGAAAAAAAAGTGGCAGAAGTGGAGGAAAGGCGGCAGTCACGAGATTTGTGTTGTGCTTGTTTTTCTTCGCTTTCATGGTGTCTTTTTCGTTGGGCTCACACTCCCACACTCTCACCCACGAGAAGGGAGGAGTGGTCCAAGAAGAAGAAGAAGAAGAAAACAGAAATAAAAGAAAAAAGGGTAAACATAT